TAACCAATGAAGCTCCTGAAGTATCAAGGACACCTGAGGATATTGAGATACTCCATTCAATACCTAGGCTTCCAGGTTCTGCAACCATTATGGCTTCCAGAGTTTTGTCAAGGGAAATCCCATGGATTCCTGTAATGTCCCATGGAAAGGACATGGGTGTGACTATGGCATGAATGACTGTGCGCATTCTGATCCAGAAATGTAAAAGATGTAGCTGTGTAAAAGCCCTCTTATCCACAATTGCCAGCTATTCCTTGAGCAGGAACTTGAATTTAGTAGAATTGCAGATCATCTCTGAGTGAGGAAATATAAACTCATTTAGAATCAAAGACTGAATTTCTCTGGAATAAACCGGGTTGGGTTGCTGCTGGTGTTACTGCCGGTTCGCAACCCACATGTGCATATGCGCAATTCAATGTAAATTGTTCTGTGTGCAGAATCATTCACACACAGTCACTAAAATCCAAAAAGGTGGTGGCCAAGCGGCAGTTGCTGGGTTGCTTCTGGTTCTGGAACCCAGGTCTGAATTCCACTACTGGTTCGACTGAACCTGCCCAAACTGGCAGCAACCACTTCTGGAATAAACCCAAAGTCATTTGTCTTGGAGAAATTCAGTTGAAGATTCTTCCTACCCATCCAAAACTTGACTTCCTATAGGTACTGGGTCAACACCTCTACCATTATCATCTGTTTATCTTTTATCTTGTCTAGGGACAAGATGTATAACTGTATATCAGGCACATATTATGATACTAAACCATCTCTCAGAAGATTCATTTAGATATAACAGAGGAGCAAAGGGAGGAGAGTTCCTTGAGTTATTCCATAAAAAGAAATCTCCACAAGTTCTTCAAGATGAAGGAAAAGCATTGCAAAGCAGCACTCTCTTCAATTCCTTGAAGACAAACCAAAGGGTAACATAGGTAATAGAATCAAAAGCCACCAAAAGGTTAAGGAAGACCACAGGGGTTGCACTGGCCTGATCATGATCTCTCACCACCACGACTGAGGTAGGTTCTTTAATGTTACTCAGCCTGAGTGCCAAGGATACGAATTAACTGCTTCCTCTAGGATCCTCTACATCTTGTGGGATGAACAGTATTGAATGTGACTGTCTCAAAATCACTCAGTGAACTACATGGAGACTTAATCATCTTTGGTAAAAGTCTCATGCTAGAGTATGCTAGCATTGTACTTGATTTCTATATGAAAAAGGCATAATCTTTTATATTAGGTCTTTGTCATACCATGCATCTACATTTGCCTTCAGAACCAAATCAAGGTTCTGTCCTAATGGCAGCATTTTATAATAACTATTTGCTAACCTGGCATTGCCTGGGTATTTATTTATAAGGGGAAAATGTCCGAACTATACATAGTTTCTAATGCTGAATTTCCCCCCTTAACAGAGGGAGCCATATTGTGAAGCCGTTACCATGGCAACTCCACTCCGCTGTACAGTAGAAGCCATTTTAAGGTACAACATGCTGTATCTTAACAGAACACACACACCCAAGGGGTGTTAGGAGTGTCTTACCCCCACATTTTTTTCTAGTGAGTAAGTCAACTGTGTACCAAGTTTGGTTGAAATTGCTTGAGGCATTCCAGAGTTATGCTGGAACACACACACACACACACATTCTGAGTTAAATTACAAAGGAAGAGATTAAAATAGGTAAAAAGAAAAGAAATAGAAGAAAACGTAAATAATTTACAATTAGCCATTTCACCTAAAGGCTTATAGAACCCTCTAGTGTTCACAGAGTATATAAATTAAATATATCCAAGCTGACTTGCAATTTAATGATGAGCAGAAGAACTTATGGTATAACTACATCTGCAGAATACTAAAAATTCATGTAAAATTGGAGAAGAGATATACAGATAAAAATGTGTTATTTCATTGTATTTAATTAATACAACAAATTTTGTTGTATTTAAATACAATGACAATAAAGATTATACTTATGAATTGATATATCAGTATTTCCTATGATTTGTTCCAGCTTTGTTTTGAGTTTGTTGCTTTAAGTGGAAAATTAAAAATGAAAACATTTTTCCAAATATTTGTTTTAAGTAAAAATTTATATGATGGTCCATGTCTACACTCCAGTTCCATATGGAGAGTAAATGTTTCTTTAAAACATTTCTTTAAAACACGTACACTTACAGTACATAAAGAAGAAACTTGGAGTATATATTCATTTAATGAAAATTTGTATACTGTACTTAATGACTACAATATAACAAATTTCTGAGCTAGAAAGTAAACTAGATAAGAAAGTCCTCAAAGAGTTACACATTTCCTGTTGTACTTTATTAGAATGAGGTTTATAGTTTATCGGCAATAAATTATTCTATAATCCTTACTAAATATAATGTATAGATACAGAAAATTGCCATTACCTAATTTGAGATGCAGTTATTTCCAAGCAATGATGCACATATTTTTGGAGTTTGGGATGTCAAAACTAACAGGGCAAGCTATCATATACAAAAAATATGGGCAGCAAATCCCACATTCACTTGGACTGATAATGTTAGTTAGTTGGATAATGAAAAACCTGCAAGCAATAACCATGCTCAGAAAGCAACGAGAACTCCACAATTCAACCAGGAGCTAGATACATTCTCTTCTATTGGAAGTACATATTTTTATTGACACCATTATCTTAATAGCCTATTTAATTAGGATATTATGCAGGCAAAGTATGTTCCCCATCACTGAACACTGAGTGGTTTCCAGGTAATAGAAGACTTCCATTTGATTGTGGTAGGTAAGAAATGGTAGAGTGGAAAGACGAGTCTGTGGCTGATTAGAAGTTGAACTGCCAGCCAGTATAGCTCTCACATCCTTTCTCCAATGTCTATGTTCTTCCAAATCTAAAGTCGCAGATTCACCATTCCCAATATAAAAGAATCTTAAAATCTTCCCATGCAGACCTAATCCATCTAGAATAGTAGTTCCAAGTAACTTCAATCAAATATGCTTCCTGTGTCATTAAAATGCTACAGAAATCAGAAAGCAATAAGGAAAACTGTTGCTAGTTGTTCATCATCTTAAAACGTAACCAAAAGAACAATAAAAGCAGTACAACAGAGCTTTGTTTAATCATGTATCAATTAAAGGACTAACACATAAAAATGCAAAGCAGGATTACTTTGTATCATAGGCTCATCTTAATGACTCTAAGGGATAAGTGGAGATGTGGAGTTCTTTTTCAGAACAGGTTGAGATATTCTGTTAAAGTTATTAACACAAAAGTGACCTCTGGTATTTTAAAAACAAAATGCTCCCAACCAATTGTGTTCTACTCAAGCATAAAATCAAACATAAAACAATTGTTATATTTAAACAAAAGAGGACTGCACAAAGAATGTTTTAATTCATAATATGCAGTACAAAATTCCTTTACTAAATAGAGCTGTTGCACTTTTTATCTTTCTAGAGTTGTATTTTCCTATTTTTTTAACATCCTATCTTTTTTCTTGCAAGTGCAGGGTCTGCTTTTTTTTCAGATCAACTGAGTGTTGATCCATTAATTGTGACAGGAATTAATGAGCAGCTTGTCACTGTAATCTAAAAGAGAATGGCCCAAAGTCACCAACCCAGCTTGCATGCCTAAGGCAGCAGTAGAATTCACAGTCGCCTGGTAATTGGCTCAAAGTCACCCAGCCAACTTTCATGCCTAAAGTGGGACTAGAATTCACAGTCGCCTGGTTTCTACCCCGGTGCCTTAACCACAACCCCAAAGTGGTTCTCAATTCTACTTCTATAAATATCTCATTCCAATATATTTGCATTTTAAATGACATTTTGGGATAAGTTGTGTCAATAGAAAAATTTCAGAGTGGAGAAAGGAAAGAAACTGATGAGAAATGTAAATACTAGAGCTCTGAAGTGCTTCAGATCTGATACAGAAGAAGTGCTTTGAAATAGGCAAGAGTATCAACACAAGCACTTCTTAAAACAATTGCTATTATTTGCAGGATCTTGCAGTTGTAGTGACAGTCTCCCTGTAGAATCTATGCAATCCTGGAGAACAAAATTCTGCTTTAATGGTAAGTGTATGTTCAGATTATAGTCTGTGGACTGTTGGTTCTTCCATACAGAAGCATTAAAGTGCTATTATTCCATGTAGGGGCTTGCAGAAAAGTACTATGCTAATTTAGAAAAGTACTCATACTCCACATACAAAATAGGAGGGGGACAAGAGGGTGAGGAGCACCTCCTTTCAATTACTATTTGCCCAGCCATTGCCCAATACTGTTCTTACCCCTGCTCTTCTCTGGGATTGCTGGAGAAGTGAGAGGAGAGGGATAAGGTCTTCTGCTATCAGTTCTCTCAGGCCAGAGTGACCATTTTGTGAGATCAGAGAACTGAAGGGAAAGGAAGGAATTTTCCCCTCTCTCCTCACCCCTTCTTTTGCCACTCAAGGCAGGAGAAGAGGAGAGATGATGACCAACTATTTATGAGGAACATAGAAATGGAGAAGAGAGCTCAGAATTCCACTAGACCTAAGAATAAACAGGCCTTTATGAAGGGGTCCTAAGTATAGATCATATAATAAATATCGATTAATTTGGGGTTATTTGGTTTAGAACTTAAGTAGTTGACATAATGTGAACATAATTGTTTATAGTTGATTAGTTACCTCAGAAATAAAAATGTCAATTAACATTAATCTATATCTATCCTCTACACTGACTAGAGGAGTTATAAATATGCCTTATGAGTTACAAATAAAAATGTAATTTTGGAGAAGAAGAATTTCCAGTTTTAGAGAGTAAGAAATATTAGTTAATGTCCAAAAAGACTGAAGCGGAACCATGTAGACCAACGTCTGTGAGCACAGTATTTCAAAACCAGGATGAAATCACAGAAAAAAATAATTCCTGGGCAGTCAGAGAATACTATCACAAAATTGTGTGATTTTTGGGAAAGCAATTAGTGCCTTAATTAGAAACATACTTCTCAAGGGCATTTGATGATGGCCTACCTCATTGTCTGACTCCACAAGTACTTGATCATATTCGCTAAGAGCTACTAGAAACATAATGGAGGTGACATTTTCAAAACAGTGTATCCATTTTCTTCGTTCCGATCGCTGTCCCCCCACATCCACCATTCTGGAATAGGAGCAGAATTCATAGAAATCAAAATAATGTACAAATTCTAAAATGTTATGGATTTGTTTTCATTGTTATATTATTTATATGCTATGTCTCAAGGATCATGACAATAGAGTGATCTACACTTCAGCATTCTGCAAATGTTTACATTGACAGTAGGCATACATTCTGGTGGTGCAGTGATTAGAATGCAGTATTGCAGGCTAAGTCTGCCTGCTGCCAGGAGTATGATCCTGACCACCTCAAGGTTGACTCAACCTCCCACCCTTCCAAGGTTAGTAAAATGAGGACCCAGATTGTTGGGGACAATATGCTGATGTTGTAAAACATTCAGAGAGTGCTGTAAAGCACTGAAGTTGTATATAAGTCTCTGTGCTTTTGCTATTTTGCTTTGAAGGGACAGCCAGATAAATGAGATATGTAATGGTGTAGAACCCAACCCAGCAATAACTTAATATTCCTGAACAGGATTCGGCACCATCATTCCAGAACAAATTTGTATAGATACTATTGGCAGACTGCTATCAATCATACGGATGTCAAATTTCCATGAAATGATTACATAGTATCAGTCTTTCTCTTGAAAATATAAGCCTATTAAGTCTTATAATGGCTTAAATCAATGGTAACGGAACAAATTAGGGGCACTGATCATCAGAGAGGTATCACCAGTGTTCCTGAATTTTATCATCAAATATTAACTGCCACAAACTTACCATTGTGATGCATTTATACACTGTAACTTGGAGTAAATATAGATGGGCTATTTCTCAAATCCATTTAATGTTTTCCGTCCTAGACTGTGGATTTCATAACATTTCTTATCCCCAGAGTCTTTGTACTTATGGCTCTAGGAAGGTAGAAATTTTTGTTTTCCTTATACGATTCCCTGAGAGGTGCTTTGCTCTTCCAAATTATTTCCATTTTTAAGGGACATAGAGAATAATAAAGCCAAATAACATATTTACTAACAAGAGGAGCCTCTTTTATTTGGCTTCAGGACCGCAGTTAATGAAAATCAAAATAAAAAAACTTCAAAAAAAAGGGTTCTTTAGAATATACATTTATATAGAACAGGCATCATTTGTCAAATTTTGTATTTCAACAAATCTACGAATGAATTTCAACAAATCTACAAATGAAGTTGATATAGCTGCTGCCATTACACAAGTTAAATACACCTTTAAAAATGAGTGTAATTATTAAAATTGAAATAGGAAGGTTTTTTGTTCAATATGGGCAAGAGTCCAATCTTTTCCAGAGTAACTGTAATAGTAATAATCTTTTATGTGTAATGGCAGAATAAAAAAATAGGAGCATTCTTATAAATTTTCCAGTTTATGTTTTTACACAAGATGAAGCAGAATTAGTAGTTAGGATATTTATAAGAATTGGTGGCTTTGATCTATAAATATATAAAATACAATTTGTCAAACCTTGACACTCAAAAAACATGTTGTTTATGACTTAACACAATACTCCGTTTTGCATTCTCTATTTTTGATCAGTGTAAAATATTGATTTAAACTACGAACTTCTCAGAGGTTGAATTATTTTCCTTCAATTGCTGCTACTAAAAGGAGTGGGAGAAAAGAATACATTTCCAAAAAAGCATTTTCTATTGGTACAATTCCTTAAATATATATTTTATGCTCCTTGTAGGAACCCCCTCCCTCAAAACAAACTCCTCCTAAGTAGCACTGTAAAGATTAAAAAAACCTTTTATCTACCTGAAAATAACACTTTGTAAGTCAAATGGATATTCAATGATTCCTGTAGTTGGAACTCGGACTCTAAGAACATCTTGTTGAGTGGGTAGATATCCAGGGCCTGCTATGCGGTCCAAATCGTTAAGATAACTATAGATAGAAGAGAAACATCAGGAATGAAAGATAATGTCCAATTGACAGAAGGAATTATACAAAGATAAAAAAGCAAAAGTGTTTGGATAGGGCACACTTGGAAAAAAAACTTATAAAATCAGATTTTTTTTGCAGAATAAAAAAAAAGTCTGTATAGATTTTGTAACTTTTACATTGTTACTAGACTTTTTCATGCTCTCCAGAATGTTCGAAGTATTAAGAGTGACAATTTAAAACGTGTCAACCTGTTCTGGCAGTCTTGTTGTACAAATTATGTTTCAATGTGAAAGTGATGTGGATTCAAAATCAAACACATGTGAAATGAATTGGATCAAAGTGCTGAATTCAATACAGTTGTTCATTACAGAGTGAGGTTCTGCCTTGAACACAGAGGTTTTGTGTGTTCTTTTTCTCTAAATGTACATGTAGCAGTGGCATTAACAAATTTACAATAGCAGAGTTGGAAGAGACCTTGGAGGTCTTCTAGTCCAACCCCCTGCCTAGGCGGGAAACCCTATACCGTTTCAGACAAATGGCTATCCAACATCTTCTTAAAGACTTCCAGTCTTGGGGCATTCACAACTTCTGGAGGCAAGCTTTGTTTAGTTAATTATGATTCTTGAGACGGTTCATCATCAATTGGCTCAATGCAAATGTAGTAGGACAAATTATCACATAACTGTAGTTAAGTAATATGAATTTCTCCCCAAGTTCCATGCTATTCTATACAGAGTGTCATTTCATTTTCAATGGCATTTTAAAGAACTATGATCTTATTTTACCTGCCTCTTGGCAGATCACTTACTTAACAAAACAACAGATTTAGAATAACATCTCAGCCAGAGGTGGGTTGCTCCCGGTTTGGACTGGATAGGGCGAACTGGTAGTAGCGGCAGCTGGAGGCTCTGCCCACCTGCCCGGATGCTTCTGTGCACATGCAGAAGCATCACGCACACCCGCGCATGTGTCAGCTGACAGTAAAAAAAAAAAAGGAAACCCACCACTGATCTCAGCTATTCTATCCTGTTATTTTTTCCATTTGAAAAGGGGACCACTTGATCTAAGCAGCTTGCCAGATTTTTATAACCAAGATCAGCTCTCTGCTTTTCCAAAGGATCCAAATCTGTACTGCAGTTAGATAAATCTCAACATTCTGGAAGCCATTTGCTCTTATTAGTGCTATTCTAGCAGCCCTGTGATGAATTAAGAATGCTGCTCTACATTTAAATAAAGGCCTGGTCTCTGTAAATGCTAGACTTCAACATTATCTTTTTAACTTTTGGCTAATGTTAATTTCTTTTTCATGGTTCTGCTCCCTCCGATTCTTAGAGAGCACTTTAAATCAACTTGATTAAAAAATAATATTGTAAGGTTTACTCCTTAAGACTCTTAAGGAAAGATGTACTCTTTCAAAGACTGAAAGATTAAGCTTCCCAAATACTGGATATATCCTTAAGCAGTGTATTTGGGACAGTGACCTTCAAAGCCTGTGGTTCCCAGTTTTGCAACACAAGGGGTCTTTCCAAATGAGTGAGTGACAGCTTCCTATCTCTCCTCTCAATCCTTGCCAGGCCTTCCATTTTGCTCGGCTTGATGCACAGACTCTTGCTGTTATATTGGGGGACTATAAAATTACTCTCCCACATTAACACATAGGTCCTCGGGAGGGTGGGGTGTCAGTAGAATTCTTCAGCCATAGTCTTCTTCATGACTTTAGACATTAGACAATACAGCATCAATAGTAGAGACCATGTTTTTGGGTTTTATGATTTCCCAGGATTTGAAATGGACATCTAACATTAGAACCATCATTAAAAAAGCACAACAAAGAATGTTGTTATAGGGCATTGCATGGCAAAACAACTAGAAGCAAAGTTTTTCCCTTGTGACATTACTCTACCGAACATCTAATTATCACAGTATTTTCTTATGTCTATGGATATTTACCCACATTATATGGCTGCTTTACTATTATCCTTCTTATCTTTTCTACTATCTTCTTCTTATGATTATATAACTTTGCATGTAAACGGAGAGCTTATGCACCAGAGACAAATTCCTTTAGTGTCTGATCACACATGGCCAGTCTTTTCTCTTCTCATCTCAGCAGGCTTGTTTTATCTGATTTTATCTGATTACTGGCCTTAGGGTCATAATAAAGATTTGACTGACTGAATTGAAGCTATTTTCATTATACTGATTCCATGTTTTTTTCCTCCAGTGATCTCATGTTCCTCAGGTATCTTAGCAGAACATAACATATATGGGGTTTTGGTTAGGAGCTTGGCTACAAGTATACATGTTTTATGATATTCTATGTTTTTATTATTTTGTGTTTTCAGTTGCCTAGATAGGTATAAGGAAAGTGAAAATGGAGACGCCATCCAGAAGCAGTTAAGACAAGCAGTGAAGAAATGTGAACTAAGCCCGGGGAGGCAGGAAAACATTAAAAAAAAGACTGATACTGACTTTCCCAACAATATTAGATATGAGCGAGGGAATGGAAGTCACAGGGTTTTTTGCAAGGTTGTGTTACTACAGTGCTGTATTAAAGAGCTATGGTGGCACAGTGGTTAGAATGCAGTATTGCAGGCTAATTCTGCCGGCTGCCAGCAGTTTGATTCTCATCAGCTCAAGGTTGACTCAGCCTTCCATCCTTCCAAAGTTGGTAAAATGAGGACCCATATTGTTGGAGACAATACAGGTAGACCTCAATTTACAACAGTTCATTTAGTGACTGTTAAAAGTTACATCATCACTGAAAAAAGTGACTTATGACCATTTTTCACACTTACGACCATTGCAGCATGTTCACGATCACGTGATCAAAATGCAGACACTTGGCAACTGATTCATATTTATGATGGTTGTAATGTCCCGGGGTCACATGATCCCCTTTTGTGATCTTCTGACAAGTTAATTGGGAAACCAGATTCACTTAACAACCGTGTGACTAATTTGTGACTAATTTAACAACTGCAGTGATTCACTTAGCAAGTGTTGCAAGAACGGTTGCAAAATGGGGCAAAATTCATTTAACAACTGTCTCACTTAGGAACAGAAATTTTGGACTCAATTGTGGTCGGAAGTCAGGGAGTACCTGTATGCTGACATTGTAAATCACTCAAAAGAATGCTGTAAACCATTAGGAAGTGTATATTTGTCTGCTATTAGTCTGTCTCAACAAAGTATAGTTCTGGTCTTCCTGTGAAGTCAGTTCCCTGATTGGTCTACTTTGTAGGAATGAAGCAAAGATTAGAGGGATTGTTGTAAACATTAAATAAATAAATAAAAACAAGTGAAACGAATGAATAATGGAATCTATGCTCTAGGAAAGGACATATGGGAGCAATTTTGATTCTTGGTATTTTATAGATACCTACTATACTGCCAATAAAGAATTCTATTCTATATTAAATCATAGACACAACATACAACACAGGAAGTAATAAAAATGTGCCAATCACAACATTGTTCTTCGCATTCCATCAGTTTTGATATAAAATCTTGTACATAGAACAGGAATTGGACAAATTACACTGCAAAATAATTATACAAACATCCATGCATGACAAAGTACCCAGAGGATAAAGTAATTAAGTTACATACTGGCAAAAATGGGATTTTAAATGAAATGATTACTAAGCATGCCTAAACTTGAACGTCAGTAAATGAATGTCCATTTGGAATATTTCAATTAATAGAGGTATTTTCAGAGAAAGCTGGGCGGTTGCTAACCCCCCAAAATTTTACTGTATTGATTTGCGCAATTTTTCCACAGATACATTTTTTTGTATTTTGTATCAGAAACTGGTGTACATAGTGTATCTGTCTTTTTTCTTTGGCATGTCTTATTGGGACAGTGCTCTTTTTTGCTATGGGTATCTGATACATGACACCAGTTTCACTTTCCTGAGTCTGTTTTATTCAGGTGGACCAAGCTGGAATAGATCAACAGTATCCATTATTCACTGGAGATGAGTCAACTAAAAATATGCTTCCGGCTCATCATAACTGCATCAATTATGTTATTTTTGTAACTGATGCCCAGATTGATCTCCATCCTCAATTCAATTCAGCTGCCAAACAGGGTGACACATAATACAGTCTTCTCCCTGTTAAATGAAATCACAGGGAGCTATATTTATCCTCAGGAAACTAATGTATATGGGCATAAGTCTAACTGCTAAATTTCAATTCTAATCTAGGTGACAAAAGAGAAAGAAATACAAAGACAGAGAGAGAACACACAGATCTACTGATAAGACAATGCTTCATCTCAAATTATCTGATCTTTAAAATAATTTAACTTTAGCATTAAAATATTTATCTAAACTAAAACTGGATTCATTAATATTAACCTTCCTATTAAAGAGCCATATCGCTACATTAAATTGCTAAAAATCAGCCTTCTGGATCAAGAACCTAATTTTTTTAGTCTCAATTTAAGATAATTCCTTTTGCAGACACGAATGCTTTCTTGGAATTGGATAGTCTTGCCCTGCTTTTAAAGTGTTTCTAGCAAAATGATTGCTTTGTTGCCTTATTTAAGAAGTTCTCAAACTGTGGGTTACATTCTAGGTAGCGGTAATCAACTGGCAGATAATAACAAGTAGTTATCATTGTTTAAACCTGTGACCAGGCTTCTGCAGGAAAAGTGAGACTAATGTCAACTCTCATCCCCACTCTGCCTAGATAAGGCGGTAATAAGTTTGCTCAAGAAAAACAAGAGCAGGGGGAATTCTAAGAAGCAGTTAACCCCACTAGTGCTGTGATTGGTTCACCATAGCATCTGGAGTATATCCATAAGCGTTGGAATTTCTGTAGAACAGCGCTAGTGAAGTAATGGTTTTATCCATTGTTTTAAATTTATATTATTTCAAAACAGGAAAATATGGGAGCTTTTTTACAGTTTTACTGAAGAAGCATAGCATTTAATATAACAGCCAGATGTAAACTCGCCTCCCACCAGCATAAAACTAAGCCAGGAAAAAAGAAAAGAAAAAAAGTAGTTATACAGAAAATACAGAATTATTTATATAGGGAAGCCTTGATTTAATGGACTAACTTAGGAAAAGTCCATTATTTCTCAGGGTCTGTTATAATAAAGCATGCGTCATCACAGCAACTTAAATAATTTGTGTGATAACAACATAACGTAAATCAAATAAATTGACACAATGACATTATCACATAAATGATAAAGAAAAGATAGAAACTCAGCTCACTATCGACTGCAATGCTACTACTATTTTTTAATTATATATTTTTTGCTGCCTCAATGACTTGCAATAGGAATTTACAATTATTTGCATAAAAATAGGTACCAATCTGTTCAACTGAGTCTTTTTCTTAAAGCAGGCAAGTTATACAGCTTAAGACAGTGCACTACATGTATAAAAAGGTCAAAAATTGTTTAAAAATGTATCTTTAAAAAAAGAAAGGAAACAGAAAACCTCTGCTATATATATAGCACCTATTTTATACACTCATAAAACTGTTTAATAAGCCCAATAAAACTGAATAGGACTTGTTACGTTAAAGTTAAAGCATTAAATCACAGAATTAAAAAAATAGAATAGGGAAAAAGAAAAAAGAAATGATGAGAAGTTTTTAATACCATTGATCATGGCATGTTTCTGGACCATTTCCAAGCTTTATGAGTGGGAAATACAATGGATATAGTCAGTAATAGTGGGTGGGGGAGAAGGAATCTAGCCCATCCACCCCTTTCTTTGTGGAATCTCTTGAGCTCTACTTTTTCTTTACTCTCATCTAACATTTATATTAAGTCACCAGGAAGTCATTCATTGGTATGAGGTCAGGTATCATTAATACGCTGATGAAATCCATCTACACATCACTATCCTAGGATGACTAGGTGTTATTTTCCAGTAACTGAAGGCTGTGGGGGTGGGGATGAAAGTGTTTCAGCTCAATACATGATCAAATGGCTGTGGGTTTTCAGGTCTCCTAATTCTGGAGATTCTCTTCTTTCAATTCATGATTGGATTGCATTTCCCAGTCAGAGTTGGTATGCAATTTAGGTGGTCCTTTAGCTCTTGTTGAAGACCCGGAAGCAACAATGGCCAAAACAGCTTCTTTCAATAGATCCATCATGTGCTCTATTGTGCCATTCCTAACTTGGATGGCCCTGGTAATTCATATTTGGATTACTGAAACATGCTTTAGACTGGGTGCTCTTGAAAAACCCCTGCAAGCTGCAGTTGGTCCACCTTGAGAGATCTTTGAAAGACCATTCATCTGTGACCTGCATTGCCTTCCAATGGAATTCTGTGTAATTCAAGTTGCTGATTATCATCTATGAAGCCATCTGAATTACTTGCAACTCTACCTCTGCTTGTCCCAGGAGAATGAGCAAAGTGAGCAATCTTCAAATCTCTTCTTTGAAGCCATGTCACCTGGAAGGATCCAGGAGACATGCCTTCTCTGCTGTAGCAACCAGCTCAGGGAATATGATTCTTCCTAAGGTTCAGATAGCTCTGTGCTTCCTATCCTTCTGTAAAGGCCCTGAAAATCTAGTTCTTCCTCCAGGCACCAGGCCAGACAATGAGATGAACACATGCAGAATGAAAGGTTTTTGAATGTGCATAGAGTGGCAATTTGGTTATTCTGTTTCTCTTTATTTCATTATATTATTATTCCATTTTTGATTCTAACTGCTTTCTATAATTTTTTTCTCACACTTCTATATGTCACCCAGCCATTTTGTAAGTTGGGCAGTCATATCAATGAATCAATCTATCAATCGGTCAAGAAAATACGGTATATAGCAGCAAGTTCATCATTAGGTTATATCTACATACCTCTGCTGAGGGTACTCTCACCCAAAAGCATGATACTTCGTTTTCAACACATGGGCTACATTCTGTAATAAAATCCTTAATATCTCTAAGCTTTTTCTCTCCATCCTACTCTGATATTCTTTTTTTTTTAACTTACTTTCGCATTTGGATAAATTGGCTTGTCTTAATAACTGGTAACTTGCCTAATTCTCTACACAATTATTGATAGGAAAGATCATCACATGGCTTCTCATTATACTTTAGTTTGCTTACTAGTCAACTGAACTAGGTCATTCTAAGGGCTCCAGTGTAGTATAATATAAAGGTGCAACTCTAAAACTTTTAGTTCTATTAGAATTTGTGACTGTCTCAGAAAGCCATGATTGCATTATGACCACACAAATTACCTTGCTATAGCACCTCAGGCCTATCTCTATGGCAACCTAATAAAATTACTGCAGCTGCCACTCTAGATTTTATTGAACGAATTACTGCTATAATTAACTTTCAAAATATAGCATATAATAGAAATATATTAAGACGTGCAATTTCTTTTCGATTAATGATGAGCTTAAAAGGTTAAATATTTTTTTGTGATGACAGATCTACAATATTTCCCAACACAATATGGTAAATAAAGGATTAGGAGATCAGGAGAAGCAAGGACCTTGCGCTTCTGTGCTACACATCTTTCAAAGGTGTCTAAAACCGTCTCACTAATGAGAATTTCCAGGAAAAAACATTACAGTGCCTTACTGTAAATATAAATTATGCAAAAATAAATAGGCCATTTCTGAATTACAGAAGTCTACAATTTTCTATGTGTGTCTCAGAATGAAAGTCATCATCTTTGTTCGTGGTTTCCATTTTTGGAAGCATAACGAAAAAGATTTAGAAGTCTCAATCCTCTTTTCCCATATTGGTTGGTTTCAGGTCAGCTATATTGGCTTCCTGTAGGCTTTTTGGCTACAATTCAAGATCTTAGTTATCAATAAAACCATTAATGGCATAGGTCTGATTTATTTGTTGGATCATCTCTCTCCAACTTCCTGCTTCTTTTATTAAGTCCACCAGGATGAGTGTATTTTGGGTTCCCTCCTTGAAAAACATCATTTAGCTGGATCCAGGAAGGATCCTTTTTTGGTTGTAGTGCCTGCCTTTTGGAATAGCACATCTTATGAGATTGGCTGGATACAGTATGCAACAACTATTGAAAACTGATCCTGCCAATGTATGCATTACTGCAGTTTTAGTGTATCAAAAGCCACTCTAATTATGTTCCTCTGTTTTCTGGATGCACTAACTCACATAAGGACCACTAATAGGTTGCATCTTCCCAGGATATTAGCCTTTTTTGTTACCTAATCATCAAGCAGTACAAACTGCTTGATAAAACTACTCAACTCTGGACACAACTGGCCTAATTATAATTAAATTTGAAATTATATAATTATAGGTTAAAATAAACACACTCTGTGACTATAGGCTACTTTTGCTGACTGCGGCTATCTGAACTTCGGCAGTTCGATTGTCACCAGGTCACCATCTCAAGGTTGACTCAGCCTTCCATCCTTCCGAGGTCGGTGAAATGAGGACCCAGATTGTTGGGGGCAATATACTGACTAAACCACTTAGAGAGGGCTGTAAAGCACTGTGAAGCAATATATACATCTAAGTGCTATTGCTATATAAGACATATCCGTTTTGTATGTACAATTATTATTCAACTAGAATTTCCTGCAAATGAAAGAGTATTAAAGATAATATATTACTTGTATCATCTATTCTGTACATACTCTGTATAAGTAACCCTACATAGCACTTTAGGATGAAAGTATGAGGGGCAAGAGCAAAATAACCAAGCATGTATTTATTTTTGGTGCTGTTTAACTAATTCAGCTGAGCTTTTGAAGGGTAGAAAGTATAACAAACAAATAAATATATTTTGTAAATCTTGCCAAATAAAACCTCTGAGCTTTTATATCCAGACATTTTGGACTAGGTTCAAAATGTTCATGTTCATACACAGTCATTTGCCTTATCGGTCAAATTCCATTAGTTCTGACTGCCAATTCTACTTCTTGGTCATATGAAAAGGAAATTCTGGAAAATATACCGTATTATCTGCAAAGGAAGTAACCCTATCTTCTTTATTCCAGAAATTCTGAAAAATAAGATATTATTACTCTTCCTGCCCTACAGTAATGTATTGTTTTCACACACATAGCAACAAATGTGAAAGTACAGGACGTCTCTTTTGCCACAATATTCAATGCATGATTTAAGGCTCTCCACCATACTAACAGCATGATCATCATTTGACCAGAAGGTTTAGGATAATACTATCACTGTCAAACATTTCAGAAAGCATCTCATTATATCTGAAATATACACCTAAGTAATGTATGATTAATTTGGCATGTTGAAACACCAGTTAAGAAGTTACATTAACTAATTTTCAAAACTGAAATGAGAAAACCCAATATTAATGTGAATACATTTATATACATTTTAAAATTACATTGCTAAAAATCCCCATAAAACATCTATACTTACTATTTTGTAGAATCTGACAACTGATATTCCCGTCGTCTGTCATAGCATTCTTGAATACCAGGATCATTCCATAAGCTCTTTATTGCATCTACATAGGGATTCTCAAATGAGGACACTTTCTCTATATCAATTTCTCGAACTAGTTGTGCATTGGCCTATTGAAATAAAAAAGAAAATCAATAGCTATTTCTCATATAAAATATACACAGACCATTTTTCTTTATTGAATTCCCATTGAGCAAGAAACTGACTCACAGGTAAGGTATAGTAATAGCAATACTATAACATTTTCACTATATGTAGGAAATGAAAGTAGGACAGTCTTTTTCTAAAAATGCAGTAAGATTTTTTTCATGGTTTTGATCAGTCATTTAAAATAATTAATTTATTTCCTAATTCCATCTTGCGTCATAGGTGATCAACTCCCTTGAGACCTGCTGGCTCTAAAAAGAAAAACAAAATAAAAAACCACCACCTAATTTTCAACGAAATAATTACTTCAAAAGAGTTTTGATCTGGACAACGAAGTAAATGGAAGACCCAGAAGCAGCTGTTTTATTATAAGTTATATAAACAGAATAATATGTTTATTATGTTATATTAATAGAATAATCCCTAATAATTCCCTTTTAAAAAAATGGAAAACAGTATTTGGAACTAAATATTGAATATGCATTGTTAAATGTTTGTACATCTCCTTAAGATTCGAAATATACTTTAAGATATAGGTTCCCCTCGCACATATGTGCTAGTCATTCCCAACTTTAGGGGACGGTGCTCATCTCCATTTCAAGGCCGAAGAGCCAACGCTGTCTGAAGATGTCTCCGTGGTCATGTGGCTGGCATGACTCAACGGTGAAGGTGCACAGAACACTGTATCCTCCCACCAAAGGTGGTTCCTATTTTTCTACTTGCATTTTTTACGTGCTTACGAACTGCTAGATTGGCAGGAGCTGGGAAAAGTAACGGCAACTCACTCCGTTACGTCGCGCTAGGGATTCGAACCACCAGCCTTTCTGATTGACAAACTCAGTGTTTACATCCCCCCAAAATGCATATTTTCTTCCCAATATTGGCTCCTATGTGATTTTTAATTTTAGCTTTGTTCTTGTATTTTCCCCTCAAAATTTTGCACTTGCACTTCTCATTTAAATGAAAAACAATGCATTTTGCAGAAATTAAATTTAAACATAAAACAACTTGCATAATTTAAACTTGCATCTGACTACAAAGGAAGAGTTCATTAAATGGGGTTCGAAAAGTATCTCTGCTAGTCTTTTACAGCAGCAGTTTCCAACCTTTCGAGCTTTGCAGACCAGCGGGAGAGGTGGGGAAAGAAGATCATTCTTTGTGAGAAGTGGGCGAGTGCATGCAGCATCACTTGTGCGCACAGCGTGCATGTGCACCCACTGCTTTCACCAATTTGAGCTACACCCGGCTTGGCTCTCCCTCAATCCAGTTCTGAATGGGCCACAGCCCAATATCATGCTGTAGCCTTGGGGTTGGAAACACCTGTTTTACAGTATGCCCCTAAAATACCATCTCCCCTGAATCAAGAACACAATCAATACTACTAATACTATTATTTCTGCTACTATGTTTTCTTTTTTATTGTTGCTGCTACATTTTGATATTTATTCAATTTCAACTGCTAAATGAAAAAGTGCAAACAGATTCTTAAAGGAAATAGATCCTATTTTAGTTTTGGCAAGATATAATATAAAGCATTCCATGATTTCAAAAACTGGACACAAAGGAGGAATAATGATACTGATTGATACTGATTTAGAAAATATGCTTCAATGGCTCTACAAAAGAAATACAAATGGCAATCAAAAAGAGTGACCTGGATAATATTTTTTCTATGAAAAAATGAAGAGTTACTCAATTTGTTTATACTTGTGCTAAAGATTAGAAGATATATATACAGGTATAATAGATAGATAGATTAGTCTTCTTTTTCTTTTTCCATCCTGCAGTTTTTACTCTTACCTATTATCTTTTCTTCATTTAGTTTGTATTAGATTTTAGTATATACTCAAAATTATTTTAAACACACACACACACACGGAGGGAGGAAGAGAATTTTTATACAAGAAATCAACTTTAACTGCATTGTCACCAAGACACAGCTACATTCTTCTCCTGCCCTGAAAATTACATTCTGGGGACAATGTTCTGGATCAGTATTTTAGTACAGTTGTCTCCAACCAGGCATTTTCCAAGTGTGGGCATTGAAAAGAAATATTTCTGCAAACAACCGAGACCACATGATGTGTAATTTATTTATCTATCTAACATGGTTCTTAAACACACCTTGCCTAAATCTTGACTTGTTTAAAGTAGTAAATGCTTGCTAATTATTTTCACACACCTTTCAATGAAGCTATTAGCTCAACCAGCTGAAGTGCTAATTTAAATGCTTAAAATAATTATAGTCTGTACACATACCAACTCTCTTTCTATATATGTCACTCAGAAAGGATCCTGTAAAGAAAATCCTGGACAAAAGTTATAGGTACCTAGATCCAAGAATAAAATATCAGATCAAGAAATATGATTATGAAACAATGAATATAAAAACCAAAACTTTCAGACAGTATGTACAATTCACTGTCCACAGCACGAAGCTGTATATATTTCACACAGCAGCTTTTATCCACTGGATAAAATCCACTGGAGTATCCGAATACAGGATGTCATCAGCACAGGCCTTCAAATTCATGAAGGGAGGGGGGGGGAAGACAGCCCATTATACACAGTAGTTTGAGCTTTAGAAAAAAAAGCCTTCTTCAAGCAAGGCAAATAAAATCCATCGGGACCTGTGTTAAAAAACAATTGCAGAAAATTTGCTAAATTATTTGACAACATTGTAAGCCTGCAGGGACTTCGTTCAGGCAGTCACCAGAAGTCAACAACAACTATAAGGCAAGAAAAGAAAAAGCCGGATAAAATACAACACTAATTTTCTACTCCCACCAGACCAAACAAAAAATAAGCAAAAGAACCCCTCGGAATAATTCCAAACCGTATTGTTAAGAATTCTTGCTTTAGTAAAACTTAAAATACAGCACCCACATTTTCATGGTTGCCAGCTTTGTGACTCATGTAGATATGTACAAATGTTAGGCGAAAGAACTCATGCTTGTAAACTTCACTTTAAATATCTCATTATTTATGTAAAAATTAATTAGGTTGTATTGCTTTATACTTTTTCTGCTCAAAAATTTGTTTCATGCTTTTTTTAACACAATGATCACTATTTTACTGTACCAACAGTGATAAATAGTGGTAAAAAGAAAAAACACAGCTATTAAATGTACCTTTTTAATATAATTATAAATAAATCATATAATCTAAATTAAGAGTAAAAGATAGATAAAATTTAAATTAAAAATATTTAGAGATTTATATCACAGATAAAATAAGTCTAAAACATTAACCAAATTATTTAAAAGCCCTATTTTATTGCCTTTGATTACAGGGCTAATATATCTAAGCTGCAGAAACCCAGGGTCAAAAACAGCTTAATCAAATGTTCTTGGTTATATCTTTGCTGATAGGTCTAGATTTTGGCAACACAGATTTCAACAGCTTTCAATAGTAATAATAGTAGTAATAATAATATTAGTAGTAGTAGTAGTAGTAGTAATAATAATAATAATAATAATAATAATAATGGTTAAACTGCACATATGAGAATTCACTGCTATAAATCATGTGTAGAGTTTTCTTTCCAGTCTTATATTATAACATCTTGGCTATTCCCCAAGGAGGCTTAGGGTACTAATCTTGCTAAAGCTATACAGGAGACAGAATGGTAAGTATTATGGAAATCAAGTAAATTCATCTTGGCTTCATCTCTGCAACGACTTCAGTGGAAGATTATAAATTAATGGAATTTGACTCAGTTAGATTCACATGCGCGCACATAGAAACACTCTATTCCAAATGATGGAGAAGAGAATCCTTCCTTCATATATGATGGTCTTGTGATCTCTTTTGGTGTAAACTTTATAAGAACATAAGTATCAATATTAAACAAGAAATCGAATGCTCCCCAGAGCTGGAATTACTAGCATTTATTTACAGGGTAAAATCTTAATAATATATTTTTCTCAGCAGCTAAAATAATGATGCTTCAACATTAGAAAATGTTAGCTACTTTAACAATTGAAATATAGATTAACAAGATTAACAAGGCCAACTATTGTGTTAGAAAAGCTTACAGATGGTTAAAATAAAACATTAGCGACAGAAACAACAATTTTATTTAGCCTGAGATGATTTTATATCTTACCATAATTGCAATAGATCTATAATCAACAATACTTTTGATATACAGTAAATATTAACATGTATATTGTCTATTTTTTTTGGTGGATTTTAAATATTTTTGGGGAGTCATTTAGGTATAGTGGTTAAGGCATTAGGCTAGAACCCAGGAGATTTTGAGTTCTAGTCCCATTTTAAGCACGAAGCCAGCTGAGGGATCTTGGGCCACTCACTTCTTTCAGCCCTACAAAGAAGTCAATGGCAAATCACTTGAAAACCCTTGCCAAGAAAACTGTAGTGACTTGCTCAGCCAGTCCTTTGGAAACATTTGAACAGAAGAAAAATAGTATTTTTAAAATATGGATTCAGGTTGTTCAATTATTTGATTTCTGTTAATAACAATTCAATTGAAAAAATAACTAAAAATATGTAAAATATATAAAAATATATTTGGTTATTCGCTCTTGAATGGATTCCAAAAAATAGATATATCATAAAAGAAAAATTAGACATCTTTGTTAAATAATGATGTTCCAAAGTCATGTTCACATTTCTACAAATTTCAGATCAAACCAGCAATATTAGGACACATTCAAACAATATAAATTAATATTCCAGTTTCTGAATCTCAACTTACTGAATATTTTCTGAAATTTCCAATATAACATATTTTAAAATATCCAGTTTGCAAGAACACACAAGTTTATTATTTCAAAGATAGTATACATATTTGATAATAATTTCATGCGTTACTTAAAGCTTCTTATAAAGATGAGGTTTTGTCTCTGGAACTAAACTTCTAAGTCATTTAATTAATTTGAGATTCAGTAGTAACAATGCTACCACAATTAATGAATTTAAATAAGAACTTGAACACTGTGCCATTCTGAAGCATTGGGATAGAGACGGTGGGGTAAAAACTAGTAAGATGGCAGATAATGTATTGAGATCTTATTACTGCCTCTTTTTGTTGGTGGGTCAATAAAGTGTGCATATTCAAAAGGCTCAGGGCTTGTATCACAATGCTGTCTACCATCCTGCTGATTTACAACCCTTTTGTTCAAATTCTATTGCACTTAAGTATATCAAATGTTGAAACATACTCTTACAATTAAACCCTTTCAAGATTTCTAAGCCCCCTATTGGCTATCTGTTGTTTGGTTATGGCCTCTGGTCTCCAGTGAGATATCTTTTTCTTTGGCTATATTGTCTTCTTTCAATTTTTATCTGTAAACTGCCAAGAGTTGTGACAGACATAGGCAGCCTTGAAATTGAAATGAATTGAAATGATATAAAATAAACATGGAATTGGATAGGATCCTGGGGTGGTACCAAGGGACATGTCTCCAGAAACATGGGTGATCACGGGTGCCACACTAAGGATGTTAATCATCAGTGCTTTTTATTGCAAAGGGATCAAATTGGATGCAATATTTTTTGATAAACCTTGGAGGATTGAAGACTGGTAAATGCATGGGGGGGGGTGTGTGGAAAACTCAACCCTTCTTTCCAGCAAAGAACAGTAAAATGCAGCAACACTTTAAAAAAAAAAGGGGGCTGTTTCATCAACACTTTAAAAAAAAAGAAGGGCTGTTTCATAGCTATGAATAATGTCATTCCAAGGTAAACTTGTCATTATTGTGGTTTCTTGATAATAATGTGGAAATGGTTTATCATCTTGCTATTTTCAGTTTCCTGTTGCCTTTTTAATTTTCCAAGTTTATCCCATGTCTCAAGCTTTTTGTGTTTGAATTCCATTCAAGTATTTTTACCAGATCTGATTGTTCTGAATTTGAAAAAAATCCATCAATATCTGTTAGATGAATCAACCAGACTTGGATAGCAACTTATAGATTTGCTTTTTATTTCTAAAATAGAAATAAAAATAGGAAGAATAGAATAGAAACAAAACTACTATTGTGTTTAAACCACTTTTTAAAAATCTACCACCAATCTAGAGCATCTCATTAATTAGGATTAAATAGCCCATGATGCTTAAATATCTTAGACCTCATTAAACTATGATTGCCCTCTTGGTTTCACCCAGAGGTGGTATTCAGCAGGTTCTGATCAGTTCTGGAGAACCAGTAACAGAAATTTTGAGTAGTTCGGAGAACCGGTAAATACCACCTCTGACTGGCCCCGCCTCACCTATTCTGTGTTTCCCAAGTCCCAGCTGATCAGGAGGGAATGGAGATTTTACAGTATCCTTCCCATGTCACACCCACAGAACCAGTAGTAAAAAAACCTGAATCATCACTGGTTTCATCCAAA